GTACTTAGCCAAAGTAACCTCCATTTCTCAGCTTCACTACACATTTCCTGCTGTATTTAAGGGAACAAAAGATGCATTAATTCCTGCTGTATAAACTAAATGATTTTGCCAGGCAACAAGAGTTTTTTTTGAACAGCAAATCTCATAAAGCGAGCGAAAACATCCCTCTTTTTTTAAGAAAAAAATAGAAAAAGAAGTCACAGGTAAAAATGAATTCTCTTTGACATTTTTTTACTCCAAGTTCCACTAATGTCACTCTGCTTTATCGCCCTGTGGCAATAACTGGAAAGCAATTATTAGAATACACCCTAATGATAGCGCCACAGAAGCCGCAGTACAGTTAGCAAAACAACACAGTAATACTGTTCATATGAACCTGTAGCGTTATAAACTATGAGGTAAGACTGAAGCAGCAAAATGAGTGGGCCTATTAACATAAGCAATGTCATATTTACTTGATCATGTCTTACTTATTAAGAGGATGGTTTCATTATTGATTACTTTAAAAGTAACATACTATCAGTATGTAGTTTCACACAGTTCCAGCTCTGTGTCTAAAGTTCCACAATTATCAGTTGATCAGAAAACTTTAGACCCTGCTTTCATAACAGTCCCCTATAGAGTTGCTGTACTATGTGCTGACAGCTAAGCTAGAGGCCAGGGTGTGTCTAAATCCTGCCCCTCTTCAGCCTAAGGTTGGTTATATATCCCATTTGCCCCACCATGGCTGACATCACTTTATCAGGCATCTGAAAGTACATATTTTTTTCTTCAGTGTAGTCAGCATGGCCTGTGTGGACATGCAGGCACTTAATGTGTCAGTGTGAGTGTGCTTGTTTGGAGGTGTGTGTGTGCAAGCGATGCCTGACTCATTTGAGCCCTGCTAGCAAATTTGGAGACACACCTTTCTAGTTTCTACATTGTCTAGGCAAGCTGCAGAACTAAGGTGCGGTATGTGGGCAGGTAATTAAATCTGAAACAGGAAAGGAATCCTATCAAAGGCAGAACGTGCTGTGAAAATACTCAAAGGATATGATTTTGAAATGGATGGAAAAAGGTGTTTTTCATCTCCTAACACAAGTTAGAAAAGAAATTGATTTACAGTTGATCTGAGATGCAGAGGAAACGGTAGATGGTAACAGATATCAGTGACGATCTGGCGGGCAAAAGCATACAAGCACCTACTTGACCTGCATTTCTGTCAGTGCGCCCCAGGGTGGCTGTGGCTACAATGTAGCTTGCCATCACCAGTGTGTGAATGTGTGAGTGAATGGGTGGATATGTAAAGCACTTTGGGGTCCTTAGGGACTAGTAAAGCGCTATATAAATACAGGCCATTTTACCATTTACTCTCACTGGAAACACTATAGCAAAGGAGACCCAAAGGAAAATGGGCGAAAATGTGGAACATCTTAGTCCTTAGA